GGTGAAAGTCAGTTTCACATGGCAGCAGACAAGAGAAGACAGCTTGTGCAGAGAGATTCCCCTTTTTAAAACCATCAGATCTCGTGAGATTTAGTTACTATCACGAGAATAGCACAGGAAAGACCCACCCCCATGATTCAATTACCTCCCACTGGGTCCCTCCCACAACACATGAGATTGTGGGAGTTATAATTCAAGACAAAATTTGGTTCAGGGGACAACCAACCATATCAGCATGGCTGCTTCCAACCCCTCATCTGCCCAGCACGTGAAGCTAAACAGCCAGGTATCCACTTGCCTGGGCTTGAGGGTGCCTCCACCAGTGCCAGTCCCTGCATGATGCAGCCCAAAGAATGCCCTAACAGCCCCCAGGGAGGGTGCAGCAACTCCTTCGCCGGGCTGTTGCTGCCAGGTCAGGGCCAGCAGGATCTCATAGGTGTCCTTTGCTCCACAGAAGTTTTAGTCCTGAGTCCTTGGACCTGAAAACTTTTTGTGGGATTTTTTTTTCTTCTTTCTAGCGACCAAAAGAGCTAAATCTGTGCTCTCCTGTAGTTCTTGTCAGACAGGCAAAGAGGTATAGAGAAGTCATGTTAGTAGCAACAACAATGCTCCTTGAAGTGATGCTTTGAACCCTAAGCCTAACTCTTTAGAGGCCCCTTCATTCATCATTCAACACCTGAGACCTGTGGAACTAAAGCAGTGAACACAGTATACCATTTGGTTCCCTGCAGCTAAGGATCTCACAGCCTAGGGAGGAAGATATGTATACATAGAAGTGAAATTCCAGAGAGCAAACTCAGTGTTTTACAAGGATTCAGAAAAGGAAGGTGTTATTTCCAAACAGTGAAAATGGGAAAGGCTTTCTATTAGAGGAGGCCAAGACTGATCTAGTCCTTGGAGAAATGATGTTACCAGTAAGCATACCCAAAAGCATTATCTACCTCTACTCAGGAAGATAGATAAAGCTTTATCCAGCAGAATAAGAATAATAGCATTGATTTGAGACAATAAGAGTCAACTGAAATAATCCATGCAGCGAACTTAACACAGTACCTGGCACACAGTAGCTGTTCAGTAAAAGGCTAGTTATTTCTGTGGCAGGGCATGGTGGCTCATGCCTATAATCCCAGCACTTCGAGAAGGCAAGGCAGGCAGCTCATGAGGTCAGGAGTTCAAGACCAGCCTAGTCAACATGGTGAAACCTCTTCTCTACTAAAAATATAAAAATTAGCCGGGTGTGGTAGCATGCACCTGTAATCCCAACTACTAGGGAGTCTGAGGCAGGAGAACTGCTTCAACCCGGGAGGTGGAGGTTACAGTGAGCCAAGATCCCACCACTACACTCCAGCCTGGGTGACAGAGCAAGACTCTGTCTCAAAAGAAAAAAAAAGGTTAGCTTATTCTAGCTCAGACTAGCTGCCCAGAGGGTGAGTAACCCAAAGACAATAGCCAGGCCTTATTATCTCTATATCCTCCTAACACAAAGCCTGAGCACAAGGAGCTCAGTAAAGGTTTGCAAAAATGAATGCATGAACAAAACAGAGATCTTCTATATCAACCTCTTAAATTACACGGGAGGGAAGATGTTTTTGAGAATGAGTATGGTTGAATCTTAAAATGGGTTTAGAAGAAGTTTATGTTATTGCCAAAAGTCCTTTAATAACATGAAATGCTCATCTGCCCTTGAAGGTCTAAGAGGCCAGCCTGCTTGATGTCTGTTTCTACCCGCATTCAAACACTGGCTGTAGTAGAGAAAAGTCAAGCATTTTATGAAAGGAAGAGAATGTTGAACTAAATGCCTTCTAAGAATGCAGGATAACATGTGGCTAAAACGCAGAGAAACACTCAGATTCCAGTCCCAGCTTTGCTACTCCCATATTAGCTGTGTGACCTTGAGCAGGCTCCCTCCATTCCTGAGCCCAAACCTTTTAAAATCATAGGTAAGATTCTGTGAAGACTAATCATTGCTGGCCGGGAGCAGTGGCTCCCGCCTGTGACCCCCAACACTTAGGAGGCTGAAGCGGGCAGATCATAAGGTCAGGAGTTTGGGACCAGCCTGACCAACATAGTGAAACCCCATCTCTATTAAAAATACAAAAATTAGTGGGGCATGATGGTGGGGGTAATCCCAGCTACTCGGGAGGCTGAGGCAGGATAATCACTTGAACCCTGGAGACGGAGGTTGCAGTGAGCTGAGATAACACCACTGCATTCCAGCTCAGGGCAACACTGCAAGACTCTGTCTCAAAAAAAAAAGAAAAAAAAAATGACTATCCATTGCTTAGTTGAGAAAGTGAAATGAGGCCATGGGGATAAGCATTGTGTAGGTAGCATTTATGCCTGGATTTCTCCCCACAATCCTGTGCAGCGCAAGATCTGAGGCTGGTGCAGACATTCTGCGGATTTTGTGCCTGTTCCAGAGATGTGAAGCTTTACCCTTTTCATGAGGAGCTTTCTCCTCTAGAGCTCAAAAGGCAGCAGAGGGAGGGCCAGGCACAGTGGCTGATGCATATAATCCTAGCACTTTCAGAGGCTGAGGTGGGCGGATCACCTGAGGTCGGGAATTCAAGACTAGCCTGGCCAACATGGTGAAACCCTGTCTCTACTAAAAATACAAAAATTAGCCAGGTGTGATGGCACACGCCTATAATCCCAGCTACTCGGGAGGCTGAGGCTGAGGTAGGAGAATTGCTTGAACCCAGGAGATAGAGGTTGCAGTGAGCTGAGATTATGCCACTGCACTCCAGCCTGGGCAACAGAGTGAGACTTGGTATAAAAAAAGGGGGGGAGGGCAGGAGAGGGAGGAAATGCTCTTTATCACTTTCCCCAGGATGCTCCCCAAGTGAGGGCCAGGCTGCCCATCCTGGAACCCTGGGTGTGATGAGATCCATAGTTGGCACTGGTGACAAGTGAACAAAGAACAACAGATCTGAGAGATCCACCGTGTCACCTGGAGCTCACTTGGCTCACTTGTGCATGGCCAGCTGTGGCCTGTAGATGCAGCCGGGGGGATGAGTTGGGAGCTGGACCACCCCTTGCTCCTTCCAGGATTGCCTCCCTCAGTAAAAACACCTGGTTTTTGAAGACCACTTTTTTCTGCTGAGGGACAATATCATGAGGTCACAGAAATTGCAAGTGAGACACCACCATGGAGTTCATCTCATCCTGTACATCCGTGCCTCCTATCAGTCAGGATTTAGAGTAAAAAACATATTATTTGGAGCAGAAAAATGCCAGAAATATATTTAGAAATGGTAATTAAAGGCTTACATAGCTATTAGAAAGATTGGCGAATTCTATGCTGGACTTCCCAGAAACACGTCTCTGGAGTTGCCGCCAGGAGGAGCCACAACCCCTACCACAATCAGGAGGCTGATCGGGGATCCGGGTCAGGAGGGCGAGGCTGCCGGTTTGTCCCCAGGGATCCGCTGCTGCTGCTGGACAAAACGTGCTGGACGCCCGTTTTGACCTTCCTATTTTCTATTTAGAACTGTAGCTTCCAGGAGTCTGGGAGATGTAACTGTTCGCTTTCCAGCCTCCTCAATAAAGGAAGGCACACCAAAATAATGTAACCGCCCCCTATCCTGCACCCCTCCATCTCTGTCTGAATACTCCGAGTGGCAGGGAGCTCGCCTTACGTTGGAGAGATCTGAGTGCTGGGATTAGGGTGAAAGTTGCTGCACAGGGGTCCCCACCTGGACGCATGGCGCCGTTGCCTCCCTCATTCCCGTGACAGCCCTTCCGAGATGGGCAAGGAGTGAGTATGTACGCTGTCCTAGTTTCCACTAAGTCCTTTCAGCCCTAGTCCTAAGACGTAGTTTGCTGGCCTGGCCGCTGACAACTTAACTCGCCTCTGATCAGGTTTCAGTCTGACAAAAAACCCTTAACAAAGTGTAAAATAAGGAACCAAGCCCTCAAATGCAAACGAACCCCATAGAGAGCTGTGACTCAGGACAGAAGGTATGACACACGATGGTTGCCAGGACAGGTGCAAAGAGCCCCTCTCACCCGCTGCTGGGTGTGGAAGCAATTGATACAGCTCCCTGGGGGCAATTTGCCTAGGTCAATACAACTTTTAAAGCACTTACCCTTGCCCCACTCACTACCTCCACTTCTGAGAATGTATCCAACAGACAAGCCCTCATGTATGTATGAAACTACATGTACACAATTCTTCATTTCAGCTTGGCTGGGAGTGGCAAAAGACTGAAGCAAACACATATGGGGCTGGCTAAATAAGCCATGATACAACCAACATAATAGTATGCAGTTGTTAAAATGAAGAATGAGCTCATCTATTATGTATTAATATGCACAGCCTCCCTCCCTAAAAAGTAAGGATAGAAGTGAGTTTAATATTGCAAAGAAAAGTATGTGCCTATAGATATAGGTATAGATAGATGTGTGTGTGTGTGTGTGTGTGAGAGAGAGAGAGACAAGGGAGAGACGAGGGAGAGACAGAGAGAGAGACCATCTCTGGAAGGCTATGTGAGAAACTTTTGACAGTGGTTGCTTCCAGAAAGGGGAATTGGGATTTCAAGGGTCACAGGTGGGAAGATTTACTTTTTATTCTATAAACTTTAAAAATATTTATATTTTACCATGTCTAATATCACTTATTCTAATAAACTACATATATATTTTAAGATAACTATGCCTAATAGTCCAAACACAGCCTGTGTTCTGAAGAGGAAAGTGACGCTGTGAATTTCATTTCTAGATGACTTTTTAAAAAATACTCACTTGCAACATGTTGGGTTTTATTTTGTTTTAACTAATTTATTCACTCATCCATCCATCCATCCATCCACCCACCCATTCACTTATCTATCCACCTATCCAACCATCCATCCATTGGGTCCCCCCACATTCACACACTGACTCTCTACACCGGGTACTTGCAAGAAGCCTGTCTGCCAGCTCTTCCCCAAGCAGTTGGCTCTGGGGCCAAGGTCAGCAGTGGCCAGCCTCTCTCATGCCTTCCTTCTCTCCCTCCCTAGGTGGATGCAAATCCTGATCCACATAATTAAAGGCAACATTGACATGTTAAAGGCAACATTGACATGGGGTTCCTGAGGCTGCTCCAGCCATGAAGAATGTGGGCATCTTGGTAAGAGGGGCTGGAATTGATCCTGATTGCGGGAGGATGTGGGGTGCAGATGTCTTTGGTGCTCTTAGATTTGCCTGAAAGCAAACCTCACTTGAGTGACATGGGACACAGTTTGACATCAAGTGTCCTTGTGACCATTTCCCTCTCAGGAGTCCCCTTTAACAGGTTGACTCTGCTGCACAGCCTGGGATCAGAAAGTCTGAGGTCACCCCAGCCCTGCTGCTTAAGCCAGGTGAGCTTATACGAGCCTTAGCCCCTTTGGTTGTTTATTTTTTTTAACAGCTTTATTGAGGTATTCTTTACACATCACAGAATTTATTCATTTTTAGTGTTCAACAAATTGTCAGTAAATTTACAAATTTGTGCAACCTTCACCACAATGTAATTTCAGAACAAATTGCCCCCCACAAAAAAACTTCCGTTTATTTACAGTCACTCCCTCCCTAGCTCTTTAGAGCCTCAATTTCCTCACTTGTAAAATGGGAACTGAAGCTTAGTTATTAGAAAGATTAAATTAAATAATTTTGTAAGATTATTTTGTAAACTTTAGAATACTCAACAATCAAATGGTTCCTATTATTATTGTTATTTGTTAATGATTATTCTTATCTCATTTATTCCCTAGGCCTGGGTCTTAGGAATTCCAGAAGACTCATGAAATTGTAGACAAATTCTAGTGATTAATATCTGCTCTTTTTTGGTGAGATCTATTTATTTCATGAAAAAGGAGTCTGTGACAAAAAAAGAAGAAGAAAAAGTTAGAAATGTCTTTGGACAGTCTTGCGGAGTGATGACTTTTTTCTTCCCTTTCGACTTGGAAGCCCATGTTGTCTTTTCTTCTTCCCTCTTAGCTTCCCTTGTCTCCCTTCTTAGCTCTGGAGATCAGTTCATCCCTAAAACCTGTCCTCTGCCTTTCTTCCTCCGGTGTCACTGACACCTGCATCCATTCTCCTTCTTTGAAGCTGCTGCACACTTTGGGTTCCATCATTGTTCTCTGTGATATTAGAGGTGACTGGGAGAGTCTTCCTGTTCAAACCCATGTCCCGTCCAACATAATGTATTTATTGCCACACTTTCCACTCTCCAAACCCAGACAATGAGAGGCTCTTTCTGTAGCGTGCTTGAGAGGGAGGGTGGCATAGCCAGACCCACCTGCTCGGCATGTCTTATTGCCCACCCATGTGAGGCGATTTGTGCACTTGTACCAATACTATCAAATGGCAGAGTTCTTAGTCTTCCCATCTACATTTCTTAAATATTCAAGGTTTTTGTTTTGTTTTTTAATACATTGTATTTTTTTCTAGTAGTTTTGGGCTCATAGCAAAATTAAGAGGAAGGTATGGAGATTTCCCATATACCCTCTCCCCACACACACTCACTGCCTCCTTCATTATCAACATCCACTACCAGAGTAGTACATTTTTTACATCAAGGAAACTACCTTGACACATCATTATCACCCAAAGTCCTTAGTTTACATTAGGGTTCAATCTGGTGTTGTACATTTTGTTTTTTGGAAATGCCATACAATGGCATGTGCCCTCCAGGATAGTCTCATACAAAGTAATTTCACTGCCCTAAAAATCCTCTGTGCTTCATCTATTCATTCATCTCTCCCTCCCACAACCCCAGCAACCACTGGTTTTGTTTACTGTCTCCATAGTTTTGACTTCAGGAGTGTCATATAGTTAAGATATACAATACACAGCCTTTTCAGATTGGTTTCTTTCACTTAGCAATATGCATTTAAAGCTCTTCCATGTCTTTTTATGACTTGATAGCTCATTTCTTCTTAGTGCTGAATAGTACTCTCCTGCTCGGATGTATCATTGTTTATTTGTTCATTCACCTACTGAAGGACACTTTGCTTCCAAGTTTTGACAATTATGAATAAAGTTGCTATAAACATTAATATGCAGTTTTTGTGTGGATGGAAGTTTTCAACTCATTTGGGTAAATACCAAGGAATGCAATTGCTAGATCATATGGTAAAAGTATATTTCGTTTTCTAAGAAACTGCCAAACTGTCTTCCAAAGTGGCTGTACCACTTCGCATTTCTGCTGCTTTACATTCTCACCAGCATTTGGTGTCATCAGTATGTTGGATTTTGATTGTTCTAATAGGTTTGTAGTGGTAGCTCATTGTAGTATGAATTTGCAATTCCCTGATGACATATGATATGGAGCATCTTTTCATATGCTTATTTGCCATCTTCTTTGATGAGGCTTCTGTTCAGGTCTTTCGTCTATTTTTTTTTTTTTGAGATGGAGTCTCATCCTGTCACCCAGACTTGAGTATGGAGTCTCATTCTGTCACCCAGACTTGAGTATGGAGCTTCATTCTGTCACCTAGACTTGAGTGTAGTGGCATACTGCAGCCTCAAACTCCTGGACTTAAGCAATCCACCTACCTCAGCCTCCCAAGTAACTGGGACTACAGGCATGCACCACCATGCCCAGCTAATTTTTAATTTTTTTTTTAAGATACAGGATCTTGCTATGTTGCCCAGGCTGGTCTTGAAGGAAAACTAAAGCCTCTGCCATTTCAGGGTTTCTGCCTCCACCTCCCAAAGGGCTGGGATGACAGGTGTGAGCCACTGCTCTAGGCCTTTTGTCCATTTTTTAATCTAGTTGTTTGTTTTCTTTTCAACGAGTTTGAAGAGGGATAACAGCCCTTCATCCCATGTCGTTTACAAATATTTTCCCCAGCTAATGGCTTGTCTTCTTATTCTCTTAACAAATCTATTTTTGTCCCATGTTTTCACTGATAACATACTTTAGCAGAGAAACTTCTAGCATACTTCACTGCTACTCAGCTTTCTTCCTTCTGCCCATACCCCATCTCCTGCTGGTTCCTGTCAGCCTGTTGGTGACAGGCTTCCTGGCCGTGCCCTGTGTGGGTATCCTGGTGAAATGTGCCTGCCACTTTCACCACAGGTGAGAGCCTCTAAGTCTCTCTCAAACAACTTTCTTTGCTTTACCTCCCCCAGCATGTTTGCCTACTCTCCTGCTATCTGTGTTCATGAACCTGCTAGAACAAGCCTCATGATCACACCCCATCAGCCATCAGCCATGATCATCAGCCTGATGATCACACCCCATCAGCCATGAGAATAAAAAGCTCAGCTTTTTATTCTGCAGTTTCCATCACAAAAGTGGTGTCCTTTTTTCCACTTTCACACCATTTAAAAATAATATTGAACATGCTTTTAAAAACTCTACAAGATTTGCCTGGCATGGTGGCTTATGCCTGTATTCGCAGCACTTTGGGAGGTTGAGGTGGGTGAATTGCTTGAGCCCAGGAGTTGGAGTCCAACCTAGGCAAATGGTGAAACCCTATCTCTACAGAAAAATGCAAACTTTAGCTGGCTGTGGTGGCTCACGCCTGTAGTTCCAGTTACTTGGGAGGCTGAGATGAGAGGATTGCTTGAGTTCAGGAAGTGGAGGTTACAGTAAGCCAAGGTCTAGGTAACAGGGCCAGACCAGAAAGAAAGAAAAGAAAGAAGGAAGGAAGGAAAGAAAGAAAGAAAGAAAGAAAGAAAGAAAGAAAGAAAGAAAGAAAGAAAGAAGAAAGAGAAAGAAAGAGAGAAAGAAAGAAAAGAAAAGCTCGACAAAATTTTTTAAATAACCTATTTACATTTATTATTTATAAATAGATTTTAAAAGATCTGGACTTAACCAATCCACACTATTAAAAGAAGTGGTGAGGAGAACCATACTGGGATGAGGCAGTGAAGGATATGCATAGAGACATTCCTCTCATACTATATAGACTTCTGTACCATTTCACTTTTTAAAATAGGCATTATTATTGCTATATTTTTAAATAAAATTGGGGGGAAAATCACATTCCCTCTCATTTCCTGAAATCCCAATACAATCTTAGGAGTATGAGCTCCTGTGCTCCTGGTAAAAGTCATTACTCCTAGGGGTGGCATGCAAGATCATCCCCATCATTAGCATGAAGACAAGCAGTGTGAGTGGTCTCAGGGAAGCAGGAGGGTGTCATAGGAAAATCACTGTTGTGGGAGTCAGGAGACCTAGGGTCAGGTCTCTGTCCTCAGCTCACTGTGTGGCTTTGGACAAGTGCCCTGCTTGCTCTGGGCTGAAATGACCCCAGGTATTCAGTGAATGCATGGGACTCATTAATCCACATGACTGACAGCTCCAGAAGGCTGGAGCCTTGCCTATTTTACTCACTGACATGGACCCTAAGGACCTGTATAACTCCAACACTTGTGTAACTCAGTAGCCACTCACTAAATACTTGTTCAACAAGCTAGTAAATGATTTTTGGAGCCCTTCAGGGAAATGAGAGAGACTTAGTGGGAACCAGTGGGTATTGGCACCTACCACTTCTGCCAAGGTTCGTACTATACATTTTTCCATTCAGCCTTGTCCTAGGGAAAGATCTACTTTGCTCTCTCCCCCTGTTATCCTTCTGAACCTAACAAAGTCTCCTGCTCTCTCCCACAGACTCAACAAGCGCCTGATGGACTATGGAGATACTGCAATGCAGTGCTAAAGGCCCAGCCCCATGCCTGGCTCCCTGACCATGCCCACTGTGGGAAGTACCTTGCCCTCTCCTTGCCTGGGATGGGGAAGGATGGTGGATCCCATCAAGGTCCCACAAAGCCTGTGGCCCAATGTTGATATTCGTTCCTCTGGAAGTGCAGTTCTAATTAATATTAATACTTTCAGATACCCTAAAGAGTTGTTCTCAAAGTTGGTCCCTGGTCCAGATGCATCAGGACCACCTGGGGACTTATTAGAAATGCACATACTTCAGCCCCACCCAGACAGACTGATCAGAAAGCTCTGAGGATAGGACCCAGAAATCTATATTTTAACAAGACATCCAGATGACTGATTGACACAGGAGTTTGAGAACCACTGCCCTGAAGAAACTACTTTACATTGTTGACAACAGAGGCAGCTTCTGGGAGCAAATTCATATCTCAGAAATTGCTATTTCCTGTGCTTAGCTTGAGAATTTTCTTTAGTCCTAAAATCAAGACAGCCATGGGAAAAGACTCCAGATGTGCACATGGGTCCAGATGAACTCCTATAGGGACAGGGCCAGATGCTGCTGTAATCCAACCTACCAAAAGTACAGGCATGGAAATTGGGCCTTAAAGACAGAAAGCAACCTGCCCAAGAGTACACAGCAGACCATGACAGGCTGAAAATCATGATCTAAGCAAATGCGTTATCAAAATGTGGTCAACTCCTGGTGTATTAGTCCATTTTCACTGCTATAAAGAACTGCCCAAGACTGGATAATTTATAAAGGAAAGAGGTTTAATTGACTCACAGTTCAGCATGGTTTGGGAAGTCTCAGGAAATGTACAATCATGGCAGAAGGTAAAGAAGAAACAAGGCACTTTCTTCACAAAGAGGCAGGCAGGAGAAGTGCCAGGTGAAGGGGAGAAAGAGCCCCTTATAAAAGCATCAGATCTCCTAAGAACTCACTCACTATCACAAGAACCACATGGGGGAAATGGCCCCCGTTATTCAATTACCTCTACCTGGTCTCTCCTTTGACACCTGGAGATTATGGGGTTTATAATTCAAGATGAGATTTGGGTGGGGACACAAAGCCTAACCATATTATTCCACCCTGGCCCTTCCCAAATTTCATGTCCCTTTCACATTTCGAAACCAATCATTCCTTCCCAACAGTTCCCCAAAGTCTTAATTTATTACATCATTAACCCAAAAGCTTAAGTCCAAAGTCTCTTCTGAGACAAAGCAAGCTCTTTCCATCTATGAGCCTATAAAATCAAAAGCAAGTTAGTTACTGCCTAGATACCATGGTGGTACAGACATTGGGTAAATTCACTGATTCCAAATGGGAGAAATTGGCCAAACAAAGGGGCTACAGGCCCCATTCAAGTCCAAAATCCAGCTGGGTGATCAAACCTTAAGCTCTGAAATGGTCTCCTTTGACTCCATGTCTCACATCCAGGTCACACTGATGCAAGAGGTGAGTTTCTATGGTCTTGGGAAGCTCCACCCTTGTGGCTTCACAGGGTACAGCCACCTCTCCTGGCTGCTTTCATGGGCTGGCATTGAGTGTCTGGCTTTTCCAGGTGCACAGTATAAGCTGTCAGTGGATCTACCATTATTGGGTCTGGAGGATGGTGACCCTCTTCTCATGGCTCCACTAGACAGTGCTCCAGTGGGGGCTCCAACACTATGTTTCCCTTCCTCACTGCCCTAGCAGAGGTTCTTCATGAGTGCTACACTCCTGCAGTAAACTTCTGCCCAGACATCCAGGCATTTCCATACATCCTCTGAAATCTATGCGGAGGTTCCCAAATCTCAATTCTTGAATTCTGTGCACTTGTAGGCCCAACACCACATTTAAGCTGTCAAGGCTTGGGGCTTGCATCTTTGAAGCAATGACCTGAGCTATATGTTGGCACCTTTTAGCCATAACTGGCATGCAGGCAACCAAGTCCCGAGACTTCACAAAGCAGCAAGGCCTTGAGCCTAGCCCACAAAACCAATTTTTTCCTCCTAGGCCTCCAGGCCTGTGAAGAGAGGGGCTGCCATGAACATGTCTGACATGCCTTGAATAAGTTTTCCCCATTGTCTTGGTGATTAACATTTGGCTCCTTGTTACTTATACAAATTTCTGCAGCCAGCTTGAATTCCTCTGCCCCCCAAAAATTGGTTATTCTTTTCTATTGCATCATCAGGCTGCAAATTTTCTGAACTTTTATGCTCTGCTTCCCTTTTAAACATAGGTTTCAATTCCAAATGATCTCTTTATGAATACATAAAACTGAACGCTTTTAAGAGCACTCTAGTTACCTCTTGAGTGCTTTGCTGATTAGAAATTTCTTCCACCAGATACCCCAAATCATCTCCCTCAAATTTAAAGTTCCACAGATCTCTAGGGCAGGGGCAAAATGCTGCCAGTCTCTGCTAAAGCATAGCAAGGGTCACCTAGGCCTAGGAGGAAAAAAATGATTTTGTGGGTAAGGGCCCAGAACCTTGCTGCTTTGTGCAGTCTCAGGACTTGGTGCCCCGAATTCCAATTTCCAACAAGTTTCTCATCACCATCTGAGACCATCTCAGCCTGGACTTCATCATCCACATCACTGGCAGTATTTTGGTCAAAGTCATTTGACAAGCCTCTAGGAGGTTCCAAAGTTTCTTACATCTTCTTATCTTCTTCCGAGCCCTCCAAACTGTTCCAACTTCTGCCCATTATCCAGTTCCTAAGTTGCTCCCACATTTTCAGCTATCTTTATAGCAGTGCCCCACTCCTCGGTACCAATTTACTATATTAGTTCGTTTTCATACTGCTATGAAGGACTGCCCAAGACCAGGTAATTTGTAAAAGAAAGAGGTTTAATTGACTCACAGTTCAGCATGGTTGGGGAGCCGCAGGAAACATATAATCATGGCAGGAGGTGAAGAGGAGGCAAGGCACCTTCTCCACAAGGCAGCAGACAGGAGAAATGCTACATGAAGGGGAAAAGAGTCCCATATAAAACCGTATGATCTCATGAGAACTCACTATCATAAGAACAGCATGGGGGAAACAGCCCCCATTATTCAATTACCTCCACCTAGTCTCTCCCTTGATATGTACGGGTTATGGAGATTTGGGGGTTTACAATTCAAGATGAGATTTGGGTGGAGACACAAAGTCTAACAATACCATCTGGTTATCCTGGATTATCCTGAATGTGGATGGACAGATTCTGGTAGCTGAAGTTTCTAGTCACCTATCTCAGCAGCCAGGGGGACAGCCTGGCACCCTGACAGCAGAGCTGTTTTATTTTCTTCACCAGCTCTTTTTTTCTTTAGTCTTTAGTTATCGGTAGGCAACAGATTGAGCAATGAGGCTTACTTTGGTACTGCTCTCAAAGTGCAAAATAAAGCATTTTCAATTTAGCAAAGGTCCAGTTTTGCTAAAGCATTAACAGCAATCATGTACAAGAAATACATTTTGACACCACATAGTGTTGTAATTGTCCTTTGGAGTGCTCTGTGAACATCTTTCCTCACTTCTATTGGCTCTGTTACTTGTGATCAAAGCAGAAGGGGCCCACGTCCAAGGCAGGTGGGGCCCCAGGACTTGGGCAGTGGAGACCATCCAGCTCTAGTGGCTGCAGTAAGCAGGGCAGAGAAGCTAAAAGGTGCATGTAAGCACAGAGAGGACAGGATAAGGAGGCTCCTGGGAAGCCTGACATGGCTTCTGAACCTGATCATTAGGGAATGCCAGGCAGCATGTGAGGACACAAAGCCAGATAGACTCTGTGTACTTTTTTCTTTTCTTTTCTTTCCTTCCTTCCTTCCTTCCTTCCTTCCTTCCTTCCTTCCTTCCTTCCTCCCTTCCTTCCTACCTTCCTTCTTTCTCTCTCTCTCTCTCTCTCTCTCTCTCTCTCTCTCTCTCTCTTTCTTTCTTTCTTTCTTCTTTTTTTTTTTGACAGAGTCTCACTCTGTCACCCAGGCTGGAGTGCAATGGCATAATCTTGGCTCACTGCAACCTCCACCTCCCTGGTTCAAGCGATTCTCTTGCCTCATCCTCCCCAGTAGTTGAAATTACAGGTGCCTGCCACCACACCTGACTAAGTTTTTGTGTTTCTAGCAGAGACAGGGTTTCACCATGTTGGCCAGGCTAGTCACGAACTCCTGACCTTAGGTGATCCATCTGCCTCGGCCTCCCAAAAGTGCTGGGATTACAGGCATGAGCCACTGTGCCCAGCCTGACTCTGTGTACTTTCTAGCAGATCAGTCTACTCACAGAGAACCAGAGCCTCATTCACTCCTTCATTCATTCATTTACTGATTGGACAAACATCAACCGAGTAGCCGCTGTGGACTGAGCATCATTCTGGATGTTAGAAAATTAGAGACAAATAAATTATAGACACAATCTCTACCTCAACAGAATTTTATGACCTTATAGTAGGGACAGAAAATCAATAAGAAGAGATACAAATGTATAATTATGAATTAGGATAAGGGCTGCAAATGAGGTGGGGAAAACTTTTCTGAGGAGGTGAAGTTTAAGCTAAGAGTTGAAGAGGATGTGAGAGCCAGACCTTTGAATAATGATGGGAACAACTTTCTAGGAAAAGGTATCGTCAAAAGGCTGTGAAGTGGAAATAGCTCAGAGGACTGCAGGAACTGGCAAAGCAAGGAGGAGAAGTAGAAGAGAAGAATGTAAAGGTCAGCAGGAGCCAAATTACTCAGCGACTTATAGGCAAGTTAATACATTGGAGTGCTGTCCCAATAGTAAAGAGAAGCCCCAGAAGGCTTCCAAGCATACGAAGAACATAATATAAATAATAATCTTCAAAAGAACAGTCTTGCTGCTGTGTGGGACATAGATCGAGGGGCAAGAGTGGAAGCTGATTTTTTGCATGGGGGAAGGGACAGTCAAGATCAAGCAGAGTGCTCAGTGTCAAAGTCAAATCAGTCAGAATTTTGGACAGAGACTTCCCTCTCCAAGAAGATGAGGTTGGGTGGTGGATGATAGGAAGGGAGATCAAGGTGGACTCTCTTGACTCCATACCTGAATGCAACCATTCAGCCTGGAAACATACCTGGACATAAATGTAATGGGCCTGCTAGGATATTCCTGCCTCTTCTGGAGCTGGAGGAGGTCTTAGGCTACAGCAGGTCTTCTACCTGTGGTTGTGAGAAGTGAGGGCATCAGTCAAGAGAGGTAAGGCAGGAGCTGAAAACACCAGCACATCAGGCAGTCACATATTCAACTTTGCCTTCCCTCTTTTTATAATAATCTTCTCCCAGTGCCCAGGGACATTGTGTTCTTCCTCACTGTGGACCAACTGGGCTTCTGATGTGTGTTCCTGATGTTTCTGGCAGATAACTTTAAACAGGTAGGGCAGAGAACTCAAGCAGAAATACAAGATGGCAAGAGATAGCCCAGCTTGAGCTTTGAGCAGCTCCATCCAAATCAACTAAGTTTGTGAAAACCTGTGAAATTCAGCCTTTGCTTTGGACCCTCCAGGTGCCTGTCTCTGAGCAACAACAGATGAAACAGTATACTTTTTCAACTTGAAAATCGTCAATATCTCCTTATTGGACAAGATATATTACAAATACTTTAATCTGGCTCCTAAGACCCAGATGCTCTAATCCCCCTCTGCCCTCTAGCCTGATCTTTTACTTCTTTCTATACGCTTCAATCCATCTGGGCTATCTACCATTCTCAAGTAGATTCTGCATTTTCCCAATGCTGAGCCCTTACTTGTGCTGTTTTTCCTACAGGTAATGTGCTCCCTTCTCCTCTCTCATCTCCACGTATCCAAATCACACCCATCCTAAATGCTTACCTCCTCTGGGTAT